TGCGAAACGTATTATTCGATATGTTAAGCATACTTTGAGCTTGGGACTGAACTTCAGCAAATCACCATTCACTCTTGTCAGTGCATTTTCTGACTCTGACTGGGCTGGCTGCCTCGATGACAGACGCTCCACTGGTGGTTTTGCAGTATTCTATGGACCAAATTTGATATCGTGGTGTGCACGTAAACAGGCTACTGTATCCAGGTCAAGCACAGAGGCTGAGTATAAGGCATTAGCAAATGCTACAGCAGAGATAATATGGGTTCAGTCCATGCTGAAGGAACTTGGCATACAAAGTAAGCAGGCTCCTTGCTTGTGGTGTGACAACCTTGGTGCAACGTATCTCTCTGCAAATCCAGTGTTTCATGCCGGGACAAAGCATATCGAGATAGATTTTCATTTTGTCAGAGAAAGAGTTGCTCAGAAGCAACTTGACATTCGCTTTGTGCATTCCAGAGATCAACTTGCAGATGGATTTACAAAGCCTTTGCCTATAAGAAGTTTTGAAGATTTCAAGTATAATCTCAACTTGATGAAGTTGTGATTAAGGGAGGGTGTTAAACTCAGACGTGCAGGTTAGCAAACCGCACCAGGAGTCCTCGGTTATTTAGCTAGGAGATGTTTATCTTCTGTAACTATAACTCTATCTCTACCTAGCTTATTCTCCAAGTTGTAATCTCTCCTGTATCTCAACTGTATGCGATCTCCAGGACTCGCACCCCTGCCTAATATATACGCAGCGTCTCCTCTAGTCAAGGTAAAACGTTTTCCGCTATCGCACATTGAGATCATTCTTCACTGTGACCAAACAGCCAATAACCTTCTGTTCAAATGTGTCTAGCTCGGTCAGAAGTTTTACAACTAAGGTTCTTCTCAGATAAATCAGATTCAGGTTATTCGGATTGAGAGCGGCAAGACATTTCTTGTTTATTCCTGAAACACTCTTAGGAATTATTGGGTCTATTCCTGAAACACTCTTAGGAATTTTTGGCTCTAAATTATTCCAAGGCTTCTTTTTCACCGTGTAACCATTATCATCCACAGATCCATCGCTTTCATCCTCTGAAATCACATTTGCAGAAAGATGTGTTTCCAGCAGGCTATAGATCATGCTGTACTTAAATTTCCTTTTGTTAAATAAAGAATGCAGGTTCTGATCACACATGACAGATTTCTTCTTCTTATCATGTAGATTCTTCTTTCGAACATACTCCTTGACAACTTCGGTACCTTTGAAATGGTCAAGAGGCGTGCTTGTATCCTTACCAATACATGATAGGAATTCTGTTAGCTCTTTTGAACCCAACATATGTTTTCTTCTCCAGCTTCTTTCTCTTCAGAGTTGCTTGCACTTCATTTGGTTTGTCCATTGTGTCAAGAAGAGATGATGGCCCGGCACCATCATTTTCAACTAATGGCTTGTGATACTCATCCGAATCATTCCCTTCTCTACACTTTAGGCTTCTTTTATGACGAATATTTGCTGTCTGCAAGTCGAGCAGTGTAAAATGTTCCTGTCATTAAGTACTGTCCAGTAATCTTTAAACAATATTTTGTAGTTCTCCGGGGTACCTCCGAAAACAACCATTGCCTGGAGATGCACGTGAGCTCGTCAGGAAAAGACAACAGAAAAAAACATAATGGGTGGGTAAACTGGAATTTTATGCAAACCAGCCTGGCTGCTATCTACTCCCTCCGTTCCTAAATATTTGTCTTTCTAGATATTTCAACAAATGACTACACACGGAGCAAAATGAGTGAATCTACACTCTAAAATATGTCTACATACATCCGTATGTGATAGTCTGTTTGAAATGTCTAGAAAGACAAAGATATTTCAACAAATGACTACACACGAAGCAAAATGAGTGAATCTACACTCTAAAATATGTCTACATACATCCGTATGTGATAGTCTGTTTGAAATGTCTAAAAAGACAAATATTTAAAAACGGAGGGAGTATCTACTAAGAAATCCAACATAAGTGCAGGTGGAAAACCTTCAGGAAAATATACAGTGAATAGCTTTACGGTAAGCAACAGGAATCTTAATATTTTTGAGGTAGGGTGACAAAATTGACTGACGAATGGAATATCAATGCTAATTGAAACGTAGTCCCACTTTGAAATGGAAGCTCGTTACTGTAATCCAAAAATGAGCCTGGTGGCATGCATATTACCTCCTCATGATCATCTTTCTCAGTCGCCACTGCCATATTAAAACAGCTGCGGCAGAATCCCATGCTGAATTCCTTGCTCTGCTTCACCGGGACGAAATCAATTTTTCCAAAGCAGTCTCCACAACTAGAGGAACTTGGACAGCACAAGCATAAATAGAGTGCATCACTTCCGCATTTAGCACATTTGTGCCAATCTGAAAATAGTTCAAATTAGGTGCAAGAATCAAAATCATTATTTTACAGGACAGAAGTGAAAGAGCATTTGACAAATCCGTATGTGGTTCATAGTGGAATCTCTACAAGAGTGAATTGCTAAAGACCACCACATTTGTGCCTAGGGTACTCCAAAACCACCGTTTTGTCAAAAATCACAAAAAACCACCACTTCCGCGTCAAGTGAATAACAAATCGCACTGATTCGGAGTTGGGTTGTGCCTAACAGCAAAACTTACGAGTGGGACCCACCTGCCAGGCTTGTAGGAAATACTTATGTGTGGCTTGCAACATTTTATCTATACTACATAGTTCCTGGAATATGTTTACCTCGATATGGAATTTACCAATGCACTTGAATATTGCTTGGAATAGATGAATGGAATATAGTTCATGGAAGTTGGTACGTATATGCTTGAAACAGTATTTATTAATGCTGGAATATTTATTATACTAATGTATATTTTGCCCGAGCACATCATATTATGGAATGCCAGGTTGTTCATGGGATTGGCTCCATGAATTGGTAAAGCCTGTGAATTTGAATTGTAATTCAAATTCAGCGTGCGACTCACACGTACGTGCTTATGGGACAGTTTGCAGATGAAACTCCTTGATGGTTACTAATGATCGTGATTGGTTAAGTTAACCTGGAGTCTTCGTTTAAACAGATTTTATTTGGACATTTATCTGCAGTTTGTACAGTTTAAAATTAACTGGAATAGTACTATATAAAGGTCCCTAACAAGTGGGACCCACCTGCCAGGCTGACTTGGCAAAGAAAGCAAGCCACGTGTACATGTTGACTAGTCTTTCTCTCCCTCTCACTAGTCTCTTCTCACACATTATGTCGAGCACCTAGGGTGCTAGCATGACAACTGCAATGGAGCCTTGCTGGTGAGTGAGAGTGAGGTCGCCGGCGGCGCGCATGAGCACGGGTGCGACCAGGGCGCTCCTCCACGGCACACCGGCAGTCGCCGCGCGCGCCACCGAGCAACGGGTCGATATAGTCACGCGACAAACTCCGGCAGCCGCCGCACGCGCGCCACTGAGCAATGGGTCGATAAGCTAGCCAGCCGCCGGCGGTGCAGGAATTCACGCGCGAGCGCCCTGGCATGCGGAACTGCCAGGCGGCGGACGCGGCGGCCGAGCGACGGCAAGGTGGAGCGCCTCCACTGGCCGGCCACCGCGGCAGACGTCATGCGCAGGAACCCCGACCCCTTCGTCGCCCTCGTGGTCCTCCATCACGACTCTAGCGGCGCTGACTATAAGCTCGGGCTCGGCCAGGCGGCTCCACCATGGCGCACACGAGCACGGTCGGCCAGGGCGCTCCCACGGTGCGCGCTCCCATGGGCTCGGTCAGGGCGCGAGCACGGGTTCAGCCAGGGCGCTTCACCACGCCCAGCGCGCGAGCACGAACGCAGCAAGAACACAAGCACACAGCTCTGTTCGCAGTGCGCCGGAGATAGAAAGTCGACGCGGGGAGGCGTGAGGGAGGGCGGCGAGCGCAGATGGCCGCGATGCACCATATTCGGCCGGCGCCAAGAAGCGGGGAGGGGCGATGCCAGGCGGCGGGGAGGGGTGGTGCCAGGCGGCGTGAGCTCGCGTGCCCCTGCCCGTTCCCGTGCGTCTTGCCAGGATTCAGGCGGCGCTGCGGCGCTGTGAGGGAGGGGCGGCGCTGCGGCGAGCAGAAGACGAAAGAGGAGGTTCTTGTATCTGTACAGGGGCTTGTCACCTTGGTGAGAGAGGAGGCGAAGGGGAGATCTGGTCAGGGGAAGGCGGAGGACGACGACCCCGGTCCGTCGCCGCCAGAGGTACGGAGCGCTGGACGGAGGAGGGCGGAGCGCTGGATCTTGGTCCCCGTCGCCTCTCGTTCGCGAGCGGCCTCTCGAGGCGTGGAAGCCGCTCCCGGGGATGGCGGAGATGGCGATGCCCTCGGGGCCCGCCACGAGGCCGAGCGCCGCAAACTTACCGTGCACCGGCAGCTCCTCCCTCGGCCTGAGAGGCAGAGACGAAGACGAAACTCAGTTGGAAGTTGGAACCGCTCCCCGGTGAAATCGGCGGAAATCCGCCACTCACGATTCGCGTGAGCTCCAGCACATTAAATAAAGAGTGAATTCCATTTTTTACCTTTAGTTGTACATTTGTGACACATATTACCCTATTTAGCGAAACTTTTATCGAAATGTCAGATTTTGGAGACTTTAACACGGTTTTACCCCAGTTTTACATTTTGTCTGTTTATGGTCGATAGGATCGGCATGTTGCGTCATTGATTTGTAAAAAAAAACTGTAAGGATCGGAGGGCATCATTGGCGATCTTGTCCAAGCTTCTCTTGTCTATCTGTTCCACTCCTTGTGGCCGTCCACATGTTTTTGAATACAGGGCGTCACCTCACACCTTACCTGATGGACACGCATCAAAAAACAAGGGTCCAAAAATTTCAAAAGGGGTATTCTAGACGAATTTTCACTCGAAGGGGTAATTAGTGTCACAAATGTATAAATATGGGGTAAAAAGTGGAATTCACTCTTAAATAAACGAGCCACACTGTATCTTCTTCGTCCCGTACCTCTGCAGTAGTACTACACCTCGCACCTGCAACAATGGCCTTTCTTGTGCTGCTCATCGTCGCGAGCTTCGCTGCCAGCGCGACGGCGGCCCTGGAGGCGGAGCCGGCGTGCTCGCCCTCCCTCTGCGGCGCCGTCGAGGTCCGGTACCCGTTTTGGCTGGACGGCGGCGGCGGCGGCAACGTTTGCGGGTACCCAAGCCTCAGGCTTGAGTGCCGCGGCGGCACGCCCGTGCTCCGGCTGCCCTCAGGCGACTACAGGGTACACCGAATCAGCTACGGCGACAACGGCGACGACGGCACATTCACTCTGCACGATTCCATCGTCCACAACAGCAGATGCCCGCTCGTCGTCGGAAGGAATCTGACTTTGCCCGAGGGCTCGCCGCCGCCGTTCTCCCTCACCGGCAACGACATGAACGTGACATTCTACCTCAGATGCCCCTTCAACGCATCTCCTTCGCACATGGTGGCTTGCCTGGAGGAGGCCGATGGCGTGCACCACACGCACGCGCGTTTCTGCTCCGGTGCTCCCCCGGGCTAAACGCGGGTGGAAAACACATCGACGGCCAGGATAAACCAAAAATGGTTCATAACGAGGGGCACGATCGTCTTTGTTGCCCCCGCGTATAGCCGTCGAGGAGCCCTGGAAGGCCTGTACGGGCCCGGTTAGATCGTATGCCCGGCCGTATACGTTGAAGGAATTTATGGCTTGCAACATTTTATATATACATTGTCCGGAATTAAACTTCATGTGGAAGTATCATGGAAATAACAAAGGAATTAATGATGTGGAATTGACTTAAGGAAATATACTTAAGGAAGCCGGTACAGCTATATTGAAACACAGTGTACATGAATATGCTGGAATTATACCCGGGAACAGTATAGAGTGGAAAGCCAGGTTGTTCATATGTTGGCTATATGAATTGATTAAAGCCTGTGAATTTGGATTTAGATTCAAATTCAACACGTGACTCACACACGTGTGCTTGTGGGACTAATTGCAGATTGAGACTCCTAGATGGTTACTAATGATCGTGGTTGGTTTGGTTAACCTCGAGTTTCTGGAACAATTATCTGCGGAATTATGGTTTAAATAAAACTGGAATTAGCACTATATAAAGGTCTCTAACCCCTAGCCTCAAATTAATGATTGTGAGCGGCACCACGGAAAAAGATTGAGAAATAGGGGTTAGACCGTATTGTGCTAAATCTAACATTGGCATCGGAGCTGATGGTTCAACGCCGCCGGAATCCGCTGCAAACTTCTTGTCGCCGGCGTGTAGGTGCGATGATCGCGTATACCCGCGAGGAATCTACCGCTGCTAGCTGCATCGGCCGCCCGTCATATTCTCTGTGCACTCATCCCTGGCGGAACTTCCCACAGTTGGCCTCGCCGGACCTCCCGACGTGTCTTACTACCCTAATCCTAGTCCGCTACAACTCTGCTGGCGAATCACCGATCACGTTCGGTCCGGCCGCGGAACCTCGTAAGTTCCTACGCGGTCCACCGCGTCGCCGCGGCCGTCCTGCACCAACTCGCCGAGATCGATCTCGCCGAGGAACACGGCGTCCTGCTGCTTCGTCTGTCGCTGGAATCGCCAGCTGCTGCATCAAATCGACAACAACACCTCAGGAAGTTCCTCCCAACTAGCTCAGACGCTGTGCCGTTTTCTCGCCATTGACAGCGTTCGCGACCTGTTCGACTAAACGCCTACAGGAAACAGGACACTGCCATCGGTAGGAAGCAAAAGCAGTGATTACTATCCGATCGCACGGATCAATCGGGAAGCCAACATCCGACTCCATCCTTGCCCAATTCGTTTTTTGCGTGCATGGATGGAGGAAAACAAGCCAATCTATGGCTGCTACAATTTAACCGCCGTCTTTTATTTTTCTGAATCTCTACCACACGGGCTCTGCAGTCGCTGGTAATCTGCGTATAGCATGGAATTAAGGAATTGACATATGAAGCTGATTCAGAACTCTAGAAGGAAAAAGATCTGCTCGAACAATAGTTGGGATTGCTACTAGTATTTCAGTTCAACCTGTTGGTTCACTCTGGCCAGGTAATGGAGGAACCATTAATCAGTCCGTATTGAGTACTGAATATGGAAATCAATCCTTGTCTTGCTGCACTCGGTATTCTTCTCTCTTGTCGCTTGAAGGAATTTTTCCACAGAACTAGCTGCGCTACATATCTGTAACACTTTTCCTTCGATGGCAATGGCTTCGTAAAGTGTATTATCTAAGTTATTTAGAACATGCAGTTTAGATGCTCTAATTACACGGTTTGGAAAGGGAATCATGTTTTTTTTTCAATTGAGAATATTGTTTATGTCATTAACCTGTATAAACCGGAAAAGCCAAAAGGGAAAGGAAAGCTATGGAATTTGACTACGGAAAATTGACTAGTTCACATAGTTATATCAATATTTCATTCTTTAGATGCTGAGTATGAGAGTGCACAGATTACGTGGAACATTTTACGTAACCTGGACTTTTTTTTGGGACTTCTTTTATTGGACACCACTTGCCTTTAAAGGAAGTTGGAATTCACTCCAAGGAAATTTATTAAACTCTTCATCATATGGATTGTTTATTTATTTATTTTGGCACTATGATTTTCAATTGCTATGGGATTGACATTATCACCAGAATATACTGGAACTCATTGGTATACTCCGGAATGTGTCGGAGTGTTTAATAATTCATCGGAATTCTCTGGCGTAATGATGACGAGACGACATGAAGCGTGTCTATATTGTAATTGACATCACTTATTTTGGAGGAGTATGGAAAATACTCCAGTGGAAAAGGAAATCAATATTTACTCAATGGTATATCCAATTTTATGGTTTGTACAAAATATTTGTTTGTCACTACTTTTCCATATAGTTGGATTATGGATTTTGTCTATACATCATAATTTGATGGAATACTATAGCCTATTTATTGACACATGAACAAATTGCAAAGGAAGAATAAATGTGCATAATTAGTCACTAATGATAAATTATATAACTTTGGAATTGGAAATTATGTAATCAAACTCTGTTTATGGAGGAATATTACTATTGTTCGTATATTCACCTACAATGAGAAGGAATTTCATTTATACTTCTCTATTGGGATTTTTTGGTTATGTATACTATTTGGAAAAGGAAGAGTGGAATTTATTGCTCAACAGAAAGGTTAGTACATTATTGAATTTAACACAACGGTCTCATATTCTATCGATAATCCGTTGGAAGTTGGTTGTGAAGATAACTCCATAGGGAGGACCACTGATAATAGGAACACATGCTCGGAATTGTATTGTCGATGGAATTTACGACTTGGTCTTACTAAACAGAATTACACTTATTAATTCTGGAATTCTATACTTAAGTGGGAGGATTGTGATACTTCATCAGCTTATATTTCCGGTACTTTTGGACACTCATATTTGAGGTCATCAAAGGATTTAATAGTTTGAAAACTAATTGGTGGGGGAAGTACACTTTAGGAATATTTATTGAAACTAAGGTAATGAGCATGGAATAATTCACCGTTGTCTATCATGCACTCCATGGCCGAATGGAGGAATACAACTCTTGATTATGTGAATAGCATCACATACTACTATTTTTGTCTACTGAGTCATTATCTATCACAGTTACTATTTATTTTTGTGAACTAGAAGGAAGTATTCTATTTATGTTTTGGCAGTATGGAGTTGGAATGATTGTTAACTACGTAGAACACCAAGTTTTAGTTTTTATTTATATATTCTATTGGATAAAAAAAATTATCTGAAAAAAGGTAGATTGGTGGAAAGTAGGAATATGGTATTGTATGATGTTTACAAGTAGTCATATTGGACTTTTATGTGTACTAAACTCAAAGGAAGACACAAGTTAAACTCCCAACACTAACATGCTTAGGAAAAGCGGGAGGAATTATTCCGACACTAACATGTTTAAGGAAAGTGGGAGGAATTAAAATGAAACATCATATCCTAGCTATAATTGTCTGTCTTTTTTTGGGGGGGGGAAGTCACTCTACTATATTTAAGAGGAAACAGTACCTAAACTTGTTACTAATGTTAACTATGGGTGGAATCATTGCGGGAAGGAATAAACTCAATGAGGAGGAATAAAAGTTTGGGAACTTCTTATTTTACCAAATAACCGCAGTCCTGTAGGTTCTAAATGGATTTACTTACATAGAAGTTTAATGTAACATGCTTAGTGGAAATTAGAAGGCCAAGCTTGTTGTTTAATTCTTTACACAAAGGAAATGCTTATACTTTGGTGGAAACTCTGGAATTCAGAGGTGGGAATAAAGACATGGTTTGCTAATTGAATAGATCAATTCATATTTTTTGGAACAAGCTTCACATCAATGGTATGTCAGGTCATCTGGTTTTATCAATGATGGAACATATCATATACAAAGTGAAAGCTTGGTTCGGTTTGAACTTTCGTACGGAAGGTATGTTGAATCTTCCAATGTTTTGGGAGTGGAACTACATAGAGAATGTTTTAGTATATTTTTTCTATGGAAAGCTGCAAATCTGTCAAGCACCTTTTGTTAAAGGGAATGATACTCTGCGAGGAATTATATTTGAACTCGTGAGGACAAAGGAGGAGTAATTGTCATACCAAAATTATTGTGGGACATTACTCGTGCGACCTGAACTTAGCCATGCCACTTTAATTGTTGCTATTTTGATTAGCACGGGAAGCAATTTGCTGGAACTATTAGCAAATGGAATATGAATCTTATAAAGATTGTTGGAATCGCATTAATTTTTTTAACTTGTTACGAAATGGCAAGAAAATCTGGATTATTCATTCTTTGACTATCTCAATGCGTGGATATATTGACACTATTTACTGGAAAGAGGATATCGGTGAAAGGTAATCTATTTTTATGTTATATGTTAATATTTACTTATGTAGGTATTTATGGTGTACAAAGGAAACATGATTTAGTACTCATTACTTATGAAATATGAATACTTTGATGCATCAAACATTGAAGGAAGGTCTATGGCTAAGGAAATTTCTTCGTGAACTAAAGGTCGTGGAAATGTGCATCATGACTTGTTACTTTGTGATAATATGAGTGCAAAATTCACAAAGTTTATATGCATCATGAATACATTGAAGGAAGGACTTATTCTCTAACCATGCTAATTGCGTGGGAATTCAATTTATTGAAATAAAATGTTTTCAGCCAAGTGGGAGATGTAGGAATTTATGGCTTGCAACATTTTATATATACATTGTCCGGAATTAAACTTCATGTGGAAGTATCATGGAAATAACAAAGGAATTAATGATGTGGAATTGACTTAAGGAAATATACTTAAGGAAGCCGGTACAGCTATACTGGAACACAGTGTACATGAATATGCTGGAATTATACCCGGGAACAGTATAGAGTGGAAAGCCAGGTTGTTCATATGTTGGCTATATGAATTGATTAAAGCCTGTGAATTTGGATTTAGATTCAAAT